CGAGCGGGTGAGGCACAGGCTCGTGGCGCAGCTGGCGGCGGCGACCAGCGATGTTCAGATCATTTCTGTCTCGGCCCACTGGGTGACCAACGAGAGCCTGGGCCCAAGGAACCAAGACCTGCTTTCGATCTTGGGGGGGGGTCACTGCATCGTCCGAGTGGCCCGCTGTGGTCGGCTGCGACTGGAACATCCCCATGGACGAGCCGGTGGCTTCTGGCTGGCCAGGTCTTTTGCACCTCCAGGCCGCTGCGCCTGAGGATGGCACTCGTAACAGCAGCGTGCTTGACTACTCCAGATTTCGTAATAAAAGGGAGGGGGTCTCATTTCGGGGGGGGGTTCTCGTCCAGGCTATCTTGGAGGGCCTGGGGGGGTCTGGGGACGATGTTTTGGGGGGTTCTCCCACGGGGGGGGGTCTGAAATGGCTTGTCTTGGAGGGTCCAGACCCCCTCCCTTTTATTACGAAATCTGGAGTATCTTATGATGTCTCAGTGCCTGCTGCCGCACGCGTCGAAAGCTCAGGCTGCCCTCGACACGCCCAGGGGGCCCCAAGTCGGAGTCTCCTCGGGCTTGCAGGGCCTCGTAGGTCCAGTGAAGGTTTGGCAACGTTTAGTGCCATGTGGATTCCCGCTCGACCCGCCCCTGGATCCCGAGGGCTTCGAAATCCCAGGGCCCGATCTCACCTGCGCTGTTTGGTCTTGAGATGCGGGTTCATTTCCGAGCAGGCCGCTCGAGGCGGCCCAAGAGTGGTTTAAAACAGCTGAGTCCTACTTGGTAGCGCCTCACAGGATCCCTCAGGGAGAAGTTCCTAAGTACCTGGGTAGGGCCCGGGGCTGTCCGTTTCAGATGATGCCCCAAGAGCGGCGCGCGGCCGAGAGCTTGCGCGACGCTCGACGGATGCCACGGCCAAGTGGCTCCAGCTGCGGCGCGCGCTCACGCAGCTGCTGGGGCTGACCAAGAAAAAAAGGGGGCCCGACGGGGGTGGCGTGGGGGGGGCTCTCGGAGGTTCTTGACCAGGTCAGCCCGTGCCTTGCCTCAGCGGAGCCGGAGACGCTGAGAGGGCACACAGGACGCAGTTTGCTGGACGGCCTCCAGGATCCCGAACGGCTTCCCGATTTGCTTTTGAAGCTATCCCAGGAGGTCGAATCCAGGCTTTCCAGTGATTCGGCGAAGTCCAGGCACGCATGGCAGGATGTTGCGCAGTCTTCTGTTCTTAAGGAAGGCCGCATCGACCATCGGTTCAGCAAGGGCCCTCAGCACACTCCCGAGCCTGTTTTGGGCCCTGCCGAAGAAGGGGGAATCCCTCTGGCGGGCCACGCGGCCCTCGAAAAGCTGCTGGAAGAATGGGTCCCGATCTGGAACCAGGACTCGAGGCCCCGAGAGGAGCACCCGCGATTTGGGGATGTTTCAAACTTTTTGGAGCCCATCACGCCAGACGATATCCGCTCGGCATGTCAATGCTTCGCGAAGGGCACGGCCTTGGGGTGGGACGGCTTCCACCCAAGGCTCATTATGCAGTTGCCGCCAGAAGTTGCGCAGCGATTAGCCGATGTGCTAAATGCGTGGGAACGAGACCCATAAGTCTCAGCTCTGCGGATGATACCGACAGTTTTTCTTGACAAGCCGACGGGAGGCGTACGACCCATCGGTTTGCTTCCTCTCCTTGGGCGCGTTTGGTCCAAGGTCCGACAGAGGGACTGCAGTTCCTGGGAGAAACAGAATGCCTCGGACCTCTTTGGGGGCCAGTCGCGGGCTACCTCTTGCGATAAGAGTGCGTGGCTCCACAACGCTCTTTCGGCATTCGCCAGGCTAAGGAACCTGGCATCTGGCTCGGCTTTTCTTGAGTTAAAAAATTATATGGGAACATCTCCCATTCGGAGCTCAGGTCCGCGGCGGCCCACGTGGGCTTTCCAGATAGACTCTTGAGGGGCTCATGCTGTCTGCATCGCTCTGAAAGACGTCCTGTTTTCCAAGGGGTCACGGGAAAACCTCTGGAGCCCAACGGCACAGTTGTCGCAGGCTGTCCCTGTGCCACGACGCTGGCCAAGGTGTTTTTACTTGCGGCTCTGAGGCAGGCCCATTTGGAGGCCCCGATCGTGAAGATTAAAAATGTCATTGATGATGCCTACTTCCATGCGGTAGGAGGTGAGACGACAGTTTCCTTGCAGGTCGGGGCGGCGGCGGTGCAAGCCAAGGGCTTGCCCATCTCGTGGGATAAAGCAGGCGTGCTTGCCAAGTCGAGCTCGCTGGCCAAAGCACTACTGAAGGAGCTGCCCCCTGAGCTGGCTGCCAGCAGGGAGGACGCCCATAGAGACCTGGGAGGGGGCGCTTCGGACGGGCGGTTTCGGAGAATCTCGACTCATCTAGACAGGTACCTGGCTGCCAGGAGGCGCGCGATCAAGCTGCGCACCCTCCAGGGAGCGGGGGCCGCGACTTTTCGCATCCATCGCTCTGGCCCCACGGCGGCTGCCACGCGGGGTACGTGTGTCCACGGCCTGGGCGACACCAGGCTCCATAGTCTGAGAGTGCTGGCGGCTCACGCGGAAGGCAGGGGTCGTCTGTGGCTCTTCACCTGGGCTGCGGGCGCCAAGGTTGGAGGCGAGACTCGGTTCGCCAGTATGGTGAGGTCCTCAGCGAAGGACAGCTTTCAAGGGCGGTGCTGGAGGCTCTCGTGACCTCTGCCAACAGGAAGGCGGCGACCGACCGACCGTGGGTAACTTGCAAGGATCCTGTGGCGGCGGTGGTGATCACTGCCCAGCGCGTAGGCTGGGGGTTTAGAGATGCTGTGACGGCGGTTGACGATCGGGGGGCGGAATGGGACCTTCAGTTTTTCTCGCCTGCGGAGGAGGAGGAGGAGGAGGAGGAGGAGGAAGGAGAGGGGGGAGGAGGAGGAGGAGGAGGAGGAGGAGGAGGAGGAGGAGGAGGAGGAGGAGGGCGCGCATCGCGTCTCAGATCTCGTTCTCGGCGCGAAGGGCCTCGGACATCAGGGCTCTCAGGCTGCAGGATGACGCGTGGGCCACGAATGTGTGCCGGAGGCCCCTCCTGGAGCTGTTCTCTTCTCGGGCTGGTCGGAGGGCCGCCTCGAGCAGAACACGCTTCGGGGGCTGATGTCAGGGTCTCACTGGGCCGAAGGCAGGCTCCACGATCAGAAGCCGACACTCCCCGAGGTCTGCCAGGTGTGCCAGGAAGAAAGGGGCACGATGTTTCACAGATGCTATGCTTGCCCTGGTCATGAGCAGTTTCGGAGAGACTGCATGCCAAGGGAGCTGCCCAGGTCTGCTGCCAGAATCAAGGATAGCCCTCCAGCTTGGAAGGAAAGGTTCGCGCGAGGCTTGTTTCCTGAGCCTGGCCACCGTGTGTTTCGACCGCCTTTCGATCCGAGCTGGAGGCGCTGGGTCTCGGGATCCCTCCAGCTGCCCTACCTCCTGGAAGGAGGGTTTGCTTTCACGGATGGCCCGGGGCTTGATCCAAATCACCCGACCTTGCGAGTAGCGGGTTGGAGTGTTGTAGCTTACGATGGTGATAGAGGCGCTGTGTCGGCGCCATATTCGGAGCTGTGCCACCTGAGTTTGGAATCACGGGCACGGCCCGATATGGAGAAGACTTTGCGATGTGAATGTGCTCCCAGAGCCTTCTGGGTTTGTATTATGTCAGGGACGATTGTAAAGGTACACTAAGCTGCTGTCAATCGCCCCGAATGTCCACGGCCCCGCGCAACCCGCGAGCCCACCTGTGGAGGCAGGTGCATTTGCGAGAGGATGTTTGTGCTCGGTCTGTCGAGCACGTCAAGGCCCACACGTCGGCCTCTGCTGTTGAGCGTGATCGGATCTCGGCGTTCGATCGAGACGGCAACAATGCTGCAGATAGCTTCGCGAAAAAAGGAGCGGCCCTGGCGAAAGCCGCCACGGCAGATGTTGAATTCGTCGAAGGGTGCCAGTTGATCGCCAGGCTTGCGGCCAAGTGTTCGGCCCAGTTGTCGGCCTCGATGGCCACGGCGGGCACCCGAGACAATGTGGGAGTTGATGACCTCAAGAAGATCGGCTTGGGGGTTTGTTGACTTCCACGGTGTTGCGGTTCCAGATGTTCCTGGGGCGGAATCCCACGATATGGTCCTCCCTCCTCTCGAGCTTCCTGCTGCTGCGCCTGCTGGGGATCCTCCAGGGCCCGCCTCAGAAGACCCCGAATGGCTTCGGGGCAAGGGTGTCCAGCCCTGGCGTGTGAACGGTCAGTGTATTGTTCAGAGCTCCAATAATTTGTCGCCCGTTTTGCTGGCAGTATGCGACCACTCCCATGCAGCGAGGTCTCACTGGGCCATGCAAGGGGCCCAAGAAGATCTCGAAGGCTGCGTGAAGGTTTTCACCCTGTGGCTCACCCTCAAGTGGCGCTCGGTCCTTCAGAGGCCCCGTCGGCGGAGATCAAGAACCGTTTCTCCAGGCACTTTGGGGAGGCCCCTGTCGGGGCGACGTCGGCTCCAAGAGCGCCGAGGGTCGTCCCGTTTTCGAAGCAAGCTGTGGCGCCTCGCCTCGGCATTGATTCCGTGCTGCTCGCTTTTGGCTTCAGCTCCCGAGAGGAGGCTGAGGTGCTTGGTCGACAGGTGCTCCTGGACCGAGCTTCTGCCCAGGCCAGGGCGGCGGGTGCCGCGGACCCAGAGACTGAAGGGTAAGTTTCTGGAGGGTGGGGGGCCCTGTCGGCAGGGCCCGTCCGAGGTGGGTCACAGCCTCGGGCGGGAACAAAAAGTTCTCGTCTGAAGGGCGCCCCCACCCCAAGTTTCCTCTCTCTCCCCCTTGACTCTCCCTCTATGGGCGGTGAACCTCCTCCTCCTCCTCCTCGACCTCCTCCTCATCCTCCTCGACCTCCTCCTCATCCTCCTCCTCCTCCTCCTCCTCCTCCTCCTCCTCCTCCACCACCCTCATCTTCCTCTCCTCTATCCTGGGAGGGGAGGGGATGAGGGAGGTGGTGGTGGTAGCGTATACCTCTGGGCCCCGCGCCGCCGTCGTCGGCGCCAGGTTCTCCAGGACGTCCACGTAGAGCACGGTGCGGAAGCGCGTGGGCAGCGCGGAGGTGGGCGCCCCCGAGGCGTCGGTCGCCTAGAGTCGAAGAAGAAAAGAGACGCCAGAAGCAGAAACTTCTGGCGCTCAGCGCGGATATTTCTTGGATCCGCGCTGGGGCATCCCCCCGGCGGCGCCTCCGGCGCGAGGGGGGTCCAGCGCAGATCCAGAAATCCGCGCGGAGCGCCAAGAGTTTATGTTTATAGCGTTTTTCTCTTCTATGAACAGAAGAGGAAGCGGCATACAGTCAACCCATATTCGTAATAAGAGTGCGCGGTAAGAATGCAAGAGCCTTGGAGGACCGTGTTGACGTTTCTCGAGCGAGGTTGGCCAGCGAAAGTCGCCAAGCATGGGCCGAAGGGGCAAGGATGCAAGGGTAGCCTTGGGAAGTTGCTCATCCTTACTATGCGGGTTGACTGAACAGTCGGACCTGGTACAGAAGAACATTCTTCAAGAACGTGAGACCCTCTACCGGTCCCACCTCAAAAAAACATTCGAGGGTGCCCTCCCCCAGGATTAGAGGCCTCCTAAAGGGGGTCGGAATAGTTGAGGTCGGAGGATCGCGCCGCATCGCCAATACATCGACGATGCATCGGCGATGCATCGGCGATGTATCGGCGATGCACTGGCGATGCAACGTCGACATCGGCGTCGGCGACGTCGACGTGAAGCAAACCGGGCTCGACATCGAGCCGCATCGGCGATGCATCGGCGATGCGGCGCGATCCTCCGACCCCATCTACTCCGACCCCATCTGGGATGCCTGGAAGACATCCAACAAACACGCAGAACACAAAGGTAACCTCCCCGAACCGACCTCGATCTTACACCTCGGTCCGACCGTAGAAGCATACGCTGTTCGAGCTCCGCGAGGACGTCCTGGGTCGGAGCCCCTGGGCCCCCCATCCCCAGCGCGCGGAGCGCGCCGGGAACGGAGCTGAAGGCGCCACCAAGGCGCGCCCAGCGCCAACCCGAGAAGTCCGCACGGAGCTCGGGAGCGTTTTCTCATTCGGCGTCTCGACACTGGGCGGAAGCGGGAGGGGGAGGGGGGAGGTCTAGCTCCGGGCCTCTGCTTGATGCGACTGTTTGCAGCAGTGCGTCCCATGGGGGAGACTCCACCAGCCTGAAACAGGCGCCAAAAGCAGCCAAGGTATACTCCGATGGGGGGGGTGCGAGGGCCCGCGCCGATCCGCCAAGCAATTAGTAAGAAAACGATCACCTCCTCAAGTCTATGTTTTTGCCGCGTGCTCTTCTTCGACGCCTGCTCCGCGTGCGCGACATGGGCGACGTGGATGATGAGCATGGCGTGGAAGACGAAGATGACAGGCACCAGGATCACGTGGCCTCCGTCGAAGACGAAGTCAGGACGAGGATACAATCGGGTGAGAATGAATCGAGATCCAGCAGCTCTACTAAAAGATGTCTCCAGCGCCGCGGCCTTATCAGAGCCTTCCGGAACGCTCTGAGAGCGCTCCGGAACGCGCTGGAACGGATTTATCCTCGTCCTAGCCCCGTCCGACCGTCGTTCTGGCACAGCTCGAGCGTGATGGACACCACGGCCATCACGGGCCCAGACATCAGCAGTGCCGAGAGGAAGGCGGTGAGGCGGCTCTTGAAGAATCCGCCGAGCCCCCTGCTCGCCAGGGGTGAGACGCTTGGCTCGGCGGCGAGCGCGGGGGGGGAAGTGAGAAGGGGCGGGCCTTCTCAAAAGGCTCAGAAGGCCCCCGGCCCTTCTGAGAGGTTCTCCAAGTTTTCCCCGAGAAGGCACAGAGTATACTTCTCAGAAGGCGCGAGGGCTTCTCCCGCCTTCGGAGAAGGCCTTTTCCTTCTCACTTCCCCTCCTCACTCGCAGCCGAGAGGAGCCCGCTGCTCGATTCGGTCGTTCGTCGTCGTCGTCGTTCGTCGTCGTCGTCGTCATTGTCGTCGTCGTCGTCGTCGTCGTCGTCGCCGTCGTCGTCGTCGTCGTCGTCGTCGTCGCCGTCGCCCTGGTCCCCCTCCCCAGGGGTCCAAAGTTCTGTTTCGGGAGGGGGGGGGGGGGACGGGGGGGGGAGGGGAGGGAGCGGGGGGGGGCGGGGGGGGGGGGCGCGGGGGAGGGAGCCCTGAGCTCCTCGGCGCACCTTCCAGATCCGCGGGATCCCCAGGATCTCACCCGTTAGGAGCAGATGGACCTAAGCGAGGACCCGAAACAGCCAAAAATCCAAAGCATTACGTAAGCGTGTGTGTGTGTGTGTTGGGACCTCCACCCCTTGCGACTCAGAGGCTGCCCCCAGCGATCCTCCCGTGGGAGCTTCTGCGTGACAGGCCGCTGCCACTCGAGGGGGAGGGGCCGCGGCGGCTCCCGCGCCTGCAGACCCTCCCGCTCTCCCGGCAGCGTCACCCCGACAGCAGGAGGATGCGCTCGTGCGCCGGCGCGGCCGCCGCAGGCCGCGGACGGTGTGGAAAGCGCGAAGGCTTTTTTTTGTTTGCTCGTGCTCGAGGCGCGCGTTCCCGGCTGGGGGCTCTCGTTCGCGCCGTTGTGGGCTCGGATCCGGTGTGTACTGCCGTTGTGTTCATGGTTTGGGCTGCCGTGCTGTGCCCTCTCCACTAGGCCGCAGGCCCCGATGCTTTGGTTACACTCTCGAGCATGCCCCAGCCAACATGCGTAGGAGCTCGCCTGAGCTCGTCCAGGTATGTCGTTCACAAGGCACTAGCACTTGACTCAAGAACGTTCCAAGTTGGCCCCGAGACGCCACAAATATGCCTAGGATGTCGCTGTACCCTTACGAAATATAACATATGCCGCATCGCGTTGGCGCCTCCGGTAGCCCTCAGAACCCTAAGTATGGTTCCAAGGAGGCCCACACAGACTCCCTGGTAAAAAAATTGGGCTCAAAGACAATGTTTAACATAAAAAAAACTGTGCAAAACATGATGAGGAACCACTTGGCATGGCCCCCACCACACCTGGCCTTAGCATTCAACAGATGGCCCCAGAAAGCAGGGCCATCATAAGTGTGGACCCAACGCTTCGCGCGCATCACCTTCTGATGTTAAGGCCAGGTGGTGGAGGCGGGAGCTTGGTTCTATATAGTTCGGGTGCTGCGGTTTCAAAGTTGTTCTTTCAACCCGACGACCTGACAAGAGTGCGCCTTGAAAACCCCAAGAGAGCCTCAAAAGAGTCCTGAGAGAGACACTAGGAGCCAATCGGAAAACCAGCCCCAAGGGATTCTGACACGGTCCCGACCAACCAATCACCACAGCATCACGACGCCGCCCTGCCGGCGGCTAACTGACTACCTACCAGACCACCCCAACCCAACCCGAAAACCCAAATTTCGGGTTGGGGGGGGTATGGGTTCCATACGTGTTTTTTCGATGTTCCCCGACCCCCCCCCCACTGGAAATGGAGGGCAAATGGAGGCCTTCGGGTTGGGTTGGGGTGGTTTGGTAGGTGGTGACTAACGGACTGGCACAAGCGCCCCTCGAATATGTCCAGGCGCTCCAGCAGCAGCGTCAGCGTCTGCAGCACAACCGCGCAGCCTATGGCGGACAGCGGCGAGCGGAGCTCGACCAGGAAGAGGCCGATGCAGTAGTACGCCACGGCGTGCAGCAGCGTGTACGTGCCCAGCGCGAGGCAGGCGCGCGAGTAGGCGTCGTGGGCCTGCCAGTTGGACTGCAGGCCGCGGTACACCTTGATGTGCTTGAGCTCAGTGAGCTCCGACCCCCGCGGGGCCTCGGCGGCGCGGGCCGCCGGGGCCGCCCGGGCCGCCGGGGCCGGCGCGGCCCCCGGAGCTGCTGGCGCTGCGGGCTGCTCGGGGGAGGCGGGCGCGGCTGCCTGCAGGTGGGTGACGCAGGGCGGCGGATCCGCGTCGCCGTTGGTGTAGCCGTCGGTCGTCCACGGGCCCTCCGGCGGGTCCGCGCGCCTCTTGTCCGCGTGCTTGTAGATCCAGCCCTGGGTGTCGTCCTCGTCGTTGATCTTCCATCCGCTCTTCGTGTGGTAGATGATCCACGCCCCGTCCACCTGCTGGTACTTGGTCCTGCCCGCATGCCCGCCCGCTGCCCTGTACACGCCGTTGCCTCGTGCCCCGACGCCCCCGGCGCCAGCCACGCGCAGCCACGTCACCTGCGAGCTGCCGGAGCCGCCCAGCCCGCCGAACAGGCCCGGCGCGCGCGCCTGGGCCTGCTGCTGGAGCACGGGCACGCGGAAGAATGCCCCCGGGCCCTGCTCCTCGAACTGGGTGGCAAAGGCGCTCGCGGCGTCGAGCTGGAACTTGTTGGGAAGCGGCAGCCGGACGAACTGTGTCAGCATGCGCACGGTGAAGGAGTTTGCGGCCACGGACGCGTGTATCGCGAGCCAGGCGCTCAGGATCAGGTGCAGGAAGGCCTCCGCCAAGCTGACCATGTAAAGCCATAGGAGCCAGGTTGGAGGCGGGAATTCCTTGTCTCCGTTGATACCCCCATGGCACAGCATGACAAGGCAAGCTCCAAGTTCTACCAGGGCGACTAGCAAGTAACTGTCCATCTTGCTCACCGTCAGCTCTGTGAGCACGCGCACGTCCTCGCGATAAAGCAGAAACTGCTTCACCCTCATCCGCTGCTCCTGGAACTCCCGCTTCAGGCGCTGCTCCCTGTCGAAGAAGAAGTTCTCCCGGTTGTACCCGAAGAGCTCCTTCGCGCCGTCCAGCAGCTCCTCCATGGCGCGCAGCTCGGCGCCGCAGCGGGGCGCGGGGCGAGACGCCAGGCACCAAGGACGGACGTGCGCGCAGGGGGGCGCGACGAGGGGGGGGCTCGGAGGAGCCGTTGAGCCAGTACGGCCTACCAGGGAGAGTCGAGTCGGGCAAAAGGGGAGGCAGGAGGAGGGGGAGGAGGAGGAGGAGGAGGAGGAGGAGGAGGGAGGAGGAGGAGGAGGAGGAGGAGGAGGAGGAGGGGGGGCGTGGATCAGCTCGTGCACTTCGGCCGATTCTCCCAGCGCCCCCCGGCGCGGGAGGCTCCAGTGTTCTGAAGGAAAGCGCCTTGCGGCGGAGCAGACACACGCTGCACGCAGCAGGTGTCGTACCCCCTCCACCCTCTCCCAGCCCACCCCTCCTCCTCCTCCTCCTCCTCCTCCTCCTCCTCCTCCTCCTCCCCCTCCTCCTCCTCCTCCACCTCCTACTCCTACTCCTACTCCACCTTCTGGAGCAAGACAGATGGGACGCACAGAGGCATACTGATACTGTATGTCCTCCTTGCAGGCGCATGTCCGACCCGAACACACAGTATACCCATCCTGCAGCACATCGTCTCCCCAACGGTACGGCCAGAATGCGCCCGCCATGGAGCATATGCTACAAGACTTCTCGGTGCGCGCGTCGCGCCTGGAGGGGGGGGGGGGCGACGCACACATAGTACTAGTATGTCGGGGTGACGCCGACTTACCACCCGACCCGAGCGAGGAGGGCGGAGGGAGGAGCTGGGTGCTGCTAGAGGTGGCCCTGGCCCAAAGTGCTCCCAGCTTCTCGCGACACAGGCTGCCAGGTTGGGGTGCTCTGGAAGCCGCCTGCGCCTGCCTGGGAAGGCTGGGACCACCTTGGGCTGGGCTCCTCCTCCTCTTCCTGCTCCTCCTCCTCCTCCTCCTCCTCCTGCTCCTCCTCCTCCTCCTCCTTCTCCTCCTCCGCCTCCTCCGCCTCCTCCGCCGCCTCATCCTCCTCCTCCTCCTCCTCCCTCCTCCTCCTCCTCCTCCTCATCCTCCTTCTCCTCCTCCGCCTCCTCCTCCTCCTCCTACTCCTCCTCCTCCTCCTCCTCCTCCTCCTCCTCCTCCTCCTCCGGCCACCTCTGGCATCGTTACAGGGAGGGAGACTCGGCGCCCCTCTGGCGGGGACTCCACCAAGGGGCACTTTGGCCGGCAACCCAGCGAACCCCACCCGTCCAGCTGTGGGCAACGCTGCTCGCCAGAGAGAGGTCCCAAGGTGGCAACTTTCGGCAAAATCTCAAAAGTACCCGTTAAAAAAACCACCCGTTAGGGTGCCGTTGCGAGGCGGGCGGGAAGGACCCGCTGGCCATCGGGGCGCGGGTGGTCCACGGCATATCGGGCCTCTTCCCACTCGGGGGAGCGGGCAGCCCCCTCCTCGGGAGGAGGAGGAGGAGGAGGAGGAGGAGGAGGAGGAGGAGGAGGAGGAGGAGGAGGAGGAGGAGGAGGAGGGGGGGGGCAGGACGAGGATCGGTTCGGACGAGGATGAGTAGGGAAGCTCCGAAAGCCGCGGGTCTGGACAGTGTAGCGGGCGCCGCGGCCGTTGCAGAGCGCTCCAGCGGACGCTCCGAGAGCGTTCTCCTCGCGCGCACGCCAGCATGGGTTGGGGGATCCCTGGACCTGGCGCCCTGGCGCCAGGTCCGCGGATCGGGGAAGGCGCCCCCGACATCATACAAGGCCAGTGCCGCCTGGTTCGGCGACGGCACACACGCGCCGATCACCTTCGGAAACGGGACCCGTCGCCGATCCACGCGCCCCAATCCATGTTTAGCGTTCCCTCGAGTTCCTCCTCCTCCTCCTCCTCGTCCTCCTCCTCCTCCTCCTCCTCGTCCTCCTCCTCCTCCTCCTCCTCCTCCTCCTCCTCCTCCTCCTCCTCCTCCTCCTCCTCCTCCTCTTCCCAGAACGCTCTGGAGCGATGTGTCCTCATCCTAGGCCTGCCGCTGCCTGACCCTCCCTCCACAACCCCCCTCCCCATGGGGGTCTGGGCCGGGGCCGCGCCTGGGCTTGGCATGCCCAAGGCGGCCCCGCCCCAAGAAGGCCCCGCATGACCTCCGGAGTGCCTCGAGGAGGCCCCGGGACGGCCGCAGAGGTGCCCGAGGCGGCCACGGGGCCTCCGAAGGATGCCTCCGAGAGGCAGCACATGAGCGACGAAAAACAACGGGTCTTACGCGAGGTGGCGCAGACCTTACGCGGCGGCTTACGCGGGCCGCCAGGGAAGAACGCCACATTGGAGGCGAGGGCGCTCACGCGCGACCTTACGCGGGCAGATTACGCGCCAGCGTCGGCGCAGTCGACCCCCTTTTTTTGGCGTCGCTCACATGAAGTTTAATGAAGGAGTTGTGCATTCTCGCCTTGTCGCTTCCGATCGGACTCCGAAGCCTCGAGATGGTGCCAATCTCTTGGGGCCAAAGGGCCCAAACAGGACCCCAACGGACGGCAAGAGCGTTCCAAGAGTCGCAAGAGAGCCCCGAGAGATGATTCCTCGGGCTCCACGTGGGCGAGGCTAGCTGGGAGCACTCGTTTGGCCGCCAGCCGCCTGGCCCGAATCAGTGCAAAATCGGCCCCTGGATCCATCCTGACCAAGTTTTTGAAGCGGATCTCACCGCGGCGACGAAAGGTCTCCCGGAGGCCCATCAAGGAAGAAAAACGCCAAGGAGGGCCGCCCTTGTCTCGACACCCCAGACATCCCGCCCTGGATCAATCTTTGATGGCCCCCGAGCCCAAAATGGCCCCCGGAGCCGAAATCGGGGAAAACCACCCAGACTGAAAAAACATGTCGTCTGAGATCTGGGACTGGCCCTCCGATCTCCGATCCCCTTCCCCAACCCCGCACGGGCCAGCGCGAGAGCAGTCCTTGGTTTTTGGCACATCCCCTGGCCTTTGGGCCATACTTCGGAGCTCCAGCGGCCGTTCGGGACGCTCTGTGCACCCCAGAACGCTCTCGGCGAGGCGCAGCTGCTGGAACGCGTCCCAAGGCAGGAGAGTCTTCAGGAACCAACGGCAGAAAACCTCACCTCTGGTTCTCCTGCGAGGAAGCCTGACCCTCCTACACACACTCACACACACGTATATACAGAGAGAACGGAAAAGAAAATCACGAAAAAACAACAACTAAAAAGATGTGTTTGTGTGCGCGCGTAGGTTGAAAAAGAATGCGTGCGTGTGAATGTGTATATATATATGTGTGTATACATAGACATACATACATGCATACATACTCACCTGTGTGTACGTATGTAATCACACATAAATACATACATATATGATTATGTATACATATACTTCTTCGTGTACATACACATACGCATACGCACATACATTACATTCAGATCCACATGTACATACAATCCCACCAGCCATTTGGGCGTAAGTGATCTAAAAATGCAGTGGATTCCTTATTATTTTTATATACAATATATATATATATATATATATATATATATGTATATATATGTATATATATAACAGTATGTTATGTTTAAAACATATAAATATATATATATATATATAACAAAAACGTGGAGGGTTCCTCCCTCTCCCATCCCTGAAATTTGTTGTAGGGATGGTCGCGAACGTGTCAGGAAGGCCTTTTTCGCCCAAGATGGCCTCCAAGGCGGCTCAAGAGAACCGAAGATGGTTCAAGACAGCTTCCGACATACTCCCAAGAGGCCCGACGAAGGCCACAAGACGGGCCCTGGTGCTCTCGGAGCCTCTCGGGACGCCCTTAAGAGGCCACAATCCTTCAAAAACCTAAGGAACATCCATGATGTCTGCCTTCTCGCCGTTTCACTTCGGATGCGTTCCTGAAGCCTCAAAATGGCCCTGAGATGGCCCCCAAAACGGTTCCAAGAGCGTCCAAAAACGGCCCAAGAGAGCCCGAAGAGGCGATTTTGACAGCCCCAGGGGGGGGGAGGAAATCAAGAACCCCCCGCCCTCATTTGATCGACGCCCTACATGGCCCGAAGAGGCATTGTAGGGCCCCCCATTGAGGGCCCCAAGATCGCCACAAGAACGCCCCAGATGCGATGTGCCTCCCCCTCCTCCTCCTCCGCCTCATCATCCTCCTCCTCCTCCTCCTCCTCCTCCTCCTCCTCCTCCTCCTCCTCCTCCTCCCCCTCCTCCTCCTCCTCCTCCTCCACCCCTCGCCCCCCCGCTGGCCCCAGGGATGGCCCGAAGAGGCCTTCCAAGGCCACCCCGTTGCTCCCATTTCCCTGTTCACCCCGGTTGCCCGCCCTGTTTCACTATGTATTTTCGTCCCTTCGCCCCTGTTCCTAACACCTCTCATGGCAATATTTCTGGGCGGGTTGCTGGGGATACGCGAAACGCGAAACCATAATTTCATAGTTGCACAGGTGGTTGCACCTATACATATGAATGCCTATGTGCATTATGTATATATATATATATATATACACGCGCACGCATTCTTTCTCATGCGCGCGCACACAAACACATACATATACATATATATATATATATACATACACACACGTGGTTCCCCCCTAGTCACGTTCATCATATTCTTATTCATCCTCCCCTTGTCTTCTTCAGTCCTACCCCTTCTCCAAACACCATTCCTCCTCCTCCTCCTCGCCCATCCTCCTCCTCCTCATTATCCTTTCCGTTTCCTCCTCTTCGTAGCGGCACAAAAACAAGAATGCACAGTGTTCGGTGCCCTCGATGCACGGAACCGCTGTGCATGTTTTGTTTGTTTGTTTTTTCTTGTTTTTTTGACGCAAGGAAAAATTAAGTATTTTTGGTTATTTAGTTTTTGGGTTATGGAAGCTCACGCGCTCCCCGCGGCCTCCTCCCAGCACCTCCCCCTTTCCTTTCCTCATCCCTATTGCAAAGCAAGGGGACCAAAAATACACGGCGCTTGGCACCCTCGGTGCAAGGAAACGCTGTGCAGTTTTGGTTGTTCTGGTTGCTTGGGTTTGGGATGCAAGGAAACACTGCGCATGTTTGGTTATTTCGTTTTTTTTGTTTGGGAAGCGCAAGTGCCCCCCGCGATCTCCCCCCAGCACCTCCTCCTTTCCTTTCCTCCTCCTGCTGCAAAGCAAGAAAACCAAAAATACACTATGTCTGGCGCCCTCGACGCAAGGAAACGATGCGCACGTCTGTTATTTTTCTGGTTTGGGGGGCTTGGGGATGCAAGGAAACATCGTGCATTTTCTGCATGGCACATTCTCCTCTCGGTCACTGGCACACCGCCACGAGCCCCCCACCGAGCAGGCACGCATACACCCGGCTGAACAAGGTGAACAGGTGCTCCCAAGCAAACCCGCTCTCTGCCGTGATGAGCACTGTGCAATTCGACACTCGCGCCCTGCGCACGATGTGCAGTAACGTCACAGGCTCCCCGGGCGCTCTATGACGGTCTGCCCTGGATCGCAGATCGAAGTCCAACCTCCATGACACGTCCGCGAACAGGATGTCGACGCCCGTGAAGCTCTCATCGCGCGCGGGTGCGCACTGCCCTCTCACGTCGCGCTTGGTGACGAGCCGCGAGAGGCGAGGGTTGACTCGTCCGCACGCATGCGCCCCCATGTCAAGCCTTAGCCCACGCTGTAGCGCCTCCTCGATGAAGGCCATGATAATGCCACCCCCTCCTGTGGCGACGCCCTTCAGCCGCATGCCCCTGTGGGTGGGTAGCGGCGAGAGCTCCCCGCCTATCAGCAAGCCCGAGCAACTCGGGAAGGTGTCCACGCAGTCAAGCACGACTAGCGCAATCGATCGTGCCACTGCCAGCGGGTGGCGCACGTTGTCCTAGTCCTTGAGCCGATGGAATGACTGAACGAATCGTGCGTGCGCCAGCGCTGTTCCCTCCCCTCTACACGCCTGCGCCAGCCTATCCGCGTCCGTCATGGCTGAATAGACAAACGGAATCATGCGCCCGAACCTCCGGTTGTACTCCGCCATATCAGGAGAAGCGAAAACGACGGCCCCTTCGACCTTGACCCAGTACTCTTTAGTCGCCGCCGTCTGGCAGACATCCTCGAAATCGTCGAACGCGGCTAGCTTGGCGCGGGCTAGGTAGAGCAATGACCTGACGCCTGCCTCCCTCATGCAGGACGCGCCCAGCAGAGTCACCTTCTTGCGCCCGGGCGCTTTCGTCACTGTGCCCCCCGCCACCGGCGCCTCCGCCAGCGCCCCCCTCGCGAGTGCCTGGAGGGCCCCGCGGACCTCGCGGGCGTTGGGCTCCACGCACTCGCAGCACAGTGTCGCGAAGGCTGCCACGTCCGCCGGCCCATTTGGCAGTCGCCTCCGCATTTCTGTCACCCCGCAGTTAAGCAGGCCTGTTCGTGCCGACTCCCACCTCGGTTCATACGCCCTCGCCATCCAATCACAGACGTCGCGAACTGCGCGAGTGCAACATGCTGCAATCAAGACCGGGCTCGAGCAAGACCTCAGGCTCGAACTTGGGCCACACGTGCTCCAGATAGTGCTCGTAGGGCATCAGAGTGTCGAACGACACCATAAGGTCAGCAGTTGCAGCGGCAGACAGCTTTGCGACGAAGTCGCAGGTCCTGGGGCCATAGGCGATCACGCAACCCTCAAACGACCTCTGCTCTGAGAGCGCGAGTCGCACCAATCGCGCATGCCGGAAGCCCCACAAGAGCCCGGAAATGCACGCGCACGGCAGGTGAGGCAGAGCCGCATGGAACTTTGCTTTGCGCGGCACATCAAGTCGAAGGCGCGCCGCCGCGATCGCGCCGCGGCGGAGCGCTGCCGTGCGCGACTTCAGAACAAGCTGGCTTGGCGACTCGTCGATAATCACGACGTAGGTGCAGCCAACGGCCTCGAGGGAGCGGTCGAGCATGGCCCTCTGGCACCTGTTTGTTTCGACGCGCGTCAAGTCAGTGGGCCACACTAAGCACTCCGACAGCATGGGCAGCTTCCTGTCGCCGTCCACTTTGCGCAGGCACGCTGGCGTGAACGCCATGAGCGACCCATCGGGGAAGTCCTTAGGGTCCACAAGAGAGGCGTGGTGGCCCCCCTTATTAACGGGGTCGTCGAGGGCCATCCTTAAGCAGCCGCCGGCACCCGCACCTTGGTCGAGGGCAAACTCTGGGTCTATACCCTCTAGCCGGTCTATAAGCGCTGTCTTGAAATTGGATGACGACACCTCCCCGCGCTTCCTCAGCAGACTGGCCACTCGATGATGACGCTCTCTGTTGGTGCCCAATGGCGGGTCGAATGTGGCGGTGTCGATGCCGCCCGGTCTCTACCTCCACACCCACGTCGATCACGTGGCGCTGAGTCCTGGCATCCGGCGCCCTCCGGAGGCAATGGTAGCCAGACCCGCGCGGGAAAGACCCGCCGAAGGAAACATTGTGTATGTTTGGCTATTTGGGTTTCTGTTGTTTTGGAAGCTCAAATGTTCCCCGCGGCCTCCTCCCAGCACCTCCCCCCTTCCTTTCCTCCTCCTCGTTGAAAAGCAAGGAAACCAAACATACACAGTGTTTGGCGCCCTCGGTGCAAGGAAACGCTGTGTATGTTTGGTTGTTCTAGTCTTTTTGGGTTTGGGATGCAATGAAGCATTGCGAATCTTTGGTAATTTTGGATCTGCTGGGCTTGGGAGCTCCGGAACAAAAGGAGGAGGTGCTGGGGGGGAGGCCGCGGGGGGCACTTGAGCTACCCCCCGCCCCCCCCCACCCCCCCAAAAAAAACAAAAATACATCGTGTTTCCGCGCATCCTAACTAACAAACAAAAAAAAAAAAAAAAAAAAAAACGCCCCCTTGCACCGAGGGCGCCAAACTGCGCACGTTTGGTTTTTTTGCTCTGCAACAAGGAGGAAAGGAAAGGAAAGGAAGAGGTTCTTGGGGGGGGCCGCGGGGAGCACTTGAGCTTCCAAAACCCAACAAAAAAACAAAATAACCTAAATGTCCCATGTTTCCGCGCATCGCACCCATGTTCCCATCCCCCCCCCCCCCCAAAAAAAAAAAAAAACGCCTCTTGCATCGAGGGCGCCAGGCACTGTGCATGTTTGGTTTTCTTGCTTCGCCACAAAAAGGAAGAAAGGAAAGGAGGAGGTGCTGGGGGGGGGCCGCGGGGGGCACTTGAGCTTCCTAAACCCCCGAAAAATAACCAACAATCCACAGTGGTTCCTCGCATCCTAGACCAAAAACACACACACAACAAAACAAACGCGCCCTTGCATCGAGGGCGCCAAACACTGCGTATTATTGTTGTTGTGTTACTCCAAAGAGGAAGAAGCGGAAAGGAGAATCCGGAGGATGAGGATGGGCGAGGAGGAGGGGGAGGCGGAGGAATTGCGTTTGCAGAAGGGGGGGACGGAAGAAGAGAAGGGAAGGATGAATAAGAAGATGATGAACGTGAATACGAGTCAGCATGAAATGTATGCCCTGGGGGGACCATATACATATATGTATATGTCTATATATAAATATAAGTATATATACACACGTATGCGTCTAAGTTAGCGTGAACACCAAGTTCTGCATATGTGTACACACTTGTACATAAATAAGTACACAACGATTTACATTGACACTTACATACACGTTAGCATAAACAAATACACATGCAAACTATATACAGCTACATATACATATATACAGACATAAACATACACATATACATTCCCATATACGTATACGTATACATATGCGTAGACATCCACATATACATCTGCATATGTGTGCATATGCATAATCATATACATACATACGCATAAATAACATGTAGTATAGACAAACACGAATGAACATACATCTACATATACATGCATGAACATAGATACTTATATATAAACGTGTGCATATACATGTGCGTATACATATACCGATGCATGTACATATACACATACAAATTCATAAATAAGTGCATATGCAAACACAAAACATATAAATGCACAAATACCTATACGCATGCACATGCACATACATACGCACATACAAATACATATGCATATACATAAATCGTTACATGCAGGTGTGAAAATATTCATGTGCTAATTTATACGTATACATAAATATAGTTATGTACACATCCGTCTATATGTACATATACATGTACGTATGCACATACATGCACTTATATCTACATGCACATGCACATAGACATATACGTATACATGTACATACACATATACACACGCACACGCAGACATACACGTGCACGTACATAATTGCAGAAATTTATACACAGACCTAGACAGATACATTGACATGCACATACACAAATACATATATATACATATAAAAATACATTATACATAATATATGATCTGGGGAATACATATATCTATATGTCCACACACCTACAAACCAAATAACTACATACATGTAGACACATAAGCATATGTATATATACACATTGACACATACATATTCGTATACAAATACATGAAGCCAAACATGTACATATGCGTGTACACAGACATGTGCATATGACTATACACTCACATATGCATGTACACCGACATAAACATATATATATACATCGACATAAACATATACATGCATATAACAATACATACCCATATGAAAATACACTTGCATATCAGGCAGCGCTGACTTCTAATATCAGAATGAGGGGGCCGAACGGTCATTCACTGTCCCTGGGTGCGTGGCTGATGCGGAATTTCGCGGTGCGGATTATCGTTGTTGTTGTTGTTTGTTGCTGTTGTTTGTTGTTGTTTGTTGTCGTCGTCCCACCCGCAACCCGCCCCGCGACCCACCCGCGACCCACCCCGCGACCCACCCCGCGACCCACCCGCGACCCACCCGCGACCCACCCGCGACCCACCCCGCGACCCACCCCGCGACCCACCCCGCGACCCACCCCGCGACCCACCCCGCGACCCACCCCGCGACCCCCCCGCGGCCCACCCCGCGACCCACCCGCGACCCACCCGCGACCCACCCGCGACCCACCCGCGACCCACCCGCGACCTACCCCGCGACCCACCCGCGACCCACCTTCGACCCAAACCACCTTCAAGGTCAGAGTGAGGGAGCCGAACGGTCATTCACTGTCCCTGGGTGCGTGGCTGATGTGGAACTCCGCGGTGCGGATTCTCGTTGTTGTTGATGTTGTTGTTGTTTGTTGTTGTTGTTGTCGTTGTTGTTGATTGTTGTTGTTGTTGTTGTTGTGTTGTTGTTGTTGTTGTTTGTTGTTGTGTTGTCGTCGTCCCACCCGCAACCCGCCCCGCGACCCACCCGCGACCCACCCAGCGACCCACCCCGCGACCCACCCGCGACCCACCCGCGACCCACCCGCGACCCACCCCGCGACCCACCCCGCGACCCACCCCGCGACCCACCCCGCGACCCACCCGCGACCCACCCCGCGACCCCCCCGCGGCCCACCCCGCGACCCACCCGACCCACCCGCGACCCACCCGCGACCCACCCGCGACCCACCCGCGACCTACCCCGCGACCCACCCGCGACCCACATTCGACCCAAACCACGTTCAAGGTACAAACCACAATTTTCGGCGCCTGCGGCGGGCTTTTTTTGCATTCCTTCAAGGCGGAGAGCCCGCGACACATCCCGTGACCAACTCGCGACCAACCCGCGACCCAAACCACGTTCAGGGTACAAACCACATTTTTCGGCGCCTGCGGCGGGCATATTTTGCGTTCGCTTCAGGTGGAGAGCCCGCAGCCCACCCGCGCCCATGTTCAGGGCACAAACCACACTTTCGGCGCCTGCGGCGGGCATCTTTTGCATTCGTTCCCTGTGGAGTGTCGATCTCGGATCGGTTCGTCGATCGAGGATGACATCTCTTCCCGGAAGGGCGCCCTGGCTCAAGGGCCCTAAACGGCAGCAGGGCGCAAGAGCATCAGGAAAGATGGGGGGCAAGGAGAAACAAGGCGAGAAGGATGAAGCGAGAGGTGACACATCTAAATGGCGAAGGGCATACGGTTGACAACCTCACCATTCTTTCTTTTGTCTCTGTACAAAAAAAAGCAGCTAGGAAAAGGGAAAGCTCAGTTCAGTGCAGGTACTGGCTGTCGTTGCGGCCTTCTTTGCTTCCGCCTTCGCCTGTTTCTTTGCCTTCCGCTCGTCAGAGCGCTTCCTGCGCCTGGCCTGGGTCGGGGGCTTGCGCTTCAGGTTCCGGTCCGTGGAGAGCCTCAGCTTGGGGCAGCCCGCGGCATGCGAGAAGAGCCCGCGCCAGTCCCTCGCCTCGTTGTCGGAGGCCGCTTTGGCAGCACGATTATCTTCGCGCCTGCTCGGGGCGCTTCCCTTGTCGTTGCCGTCGCAGCTGAGGGTCTCCTCGTCGCTGTCACTGCTCGGAGAGGGAGACGCATCGACCTGCGGAGGTCCTGGTTTCGCCTGTCTCGCCGGAGCCTGGCTTGAAGCAAGGGGGCCCGCTTCGGCGGGCGACCCGGGCGGGCTGGAAGCGGGCTCCGGGGACAGAGCTCTCTCCTCCCTGGCCCTCGCTGCTTCCTCCAGCCTGATCTGGGCACGCTGTCTCTTGGATCTCTCGCGGTCCCGGAGCAAGCGGGCAGACATCCAGTGTCCACAGAGGTCAACGTCTCAGCGGTACAAGACATTAAGATGCTTCTGCTTACGCCACGGCGGAGGCACGCCAGCTTCTCGAAGCTGATTGTCCTGATCGAGCATGTCTGTCAATATGTTGTCCTTCTGCTGCGCGCGCACCTCCTGCCTCAGGAGGCTCACCGCCCTCTGCCTGCTCTGGCCGATCGAGATCCCGGTGGCCCTGCATGCGGCGAAGCGCCGGCACTTCGGAGCGGAAGCTCCGGAGGCTCTCCGTGACCAAATGCCGCTCGATCGCATTGAGCCTGCGGGCAGGCACAGCGGCCAGCTGCTCCTCCACCGGCGGCGTCGGCACTGTAAATGGCGGCCGGCGCGGCGGAGGTGCTGGAGGCGTCCGGCTCGGAGGCGGCGCCGGAGCAGACGCCTTGCTCGTGGTCCCTGGCGCTGCGGCAGGCCGGGGCCGAGCACCAATGGCAGTTGTTGCAACCATCGCGAACTCAAGCTTTCCGCTGGCCGGGAAGCCACAGCACGGCGGTCCGCTTTGAGCCACAAC